TGGTGTCGGGCTAGGCAGAGCCCGCGGCCTCAAGGTAGGGTGAGGCGGAGCCACCCCTCAGGTGTCGGGCGAGGTAGAGCCAACCCTTGGGGGTTGGGCGAGGCAGAGCCCATGACCTCGGTGTCAGGTGAGGCAGAGCCAACCCTTAGCGGTCAGGCGAAGCGGAGCCAACCCTCGAGGGTTGGGCGAGGCGGAAACCGCAGCCTCGGTGTTGGCCGAGGCAGAGCCAACCCTCAGGGGTCAGGCGAGGCGGTGCCCATGGCCTTGGTGTCAAGTGAGGCAAAGCCAACCCTCAGGGGTTGGGCAAGGCAGAGCCCACGACCTCGGTGTTGGGTGATGCGGAGACAACCCTTAGGGGTCGGGCGAGGAGAAGCCCACGGCCTCGGTGTCGGGCAAGGCGGAGCCAACCCTCAGCGGTCAGGCGAGGCAAAGCCCATGGCCTTGGTGTTGGGCGAGGTGGAGCCAACGCTTAGGGGTCGGGTGAGGCGGAGCCCGCGGCCTCGGTGTCGGCTGAGGTGGAGCCCACCCTCAGGGGTCGGGCGAGGCGAAGTTTTGCGCACCTGGGGTCGGTTGGAGTTGTAGTCGCTTTCTTGACTGCTCGGACGAGTCAATGTTTATAGTTATTAGCTCCTCTTTGGGTACCCTAGTATTGGTCCTCGACAGTAGCCCCCGAGCCTGCGGAGGAGTAGAATACTCCTTCGGAGGCTTTTTCGAACGGGAGGACTCTGAAGGCCTTGGCCTTCTTTTGTCACCCAGAGTGTGACCTAGGGATGGTGATTCCCTTTCCTCGAGCCCCCTCCCATAGCAAGGGCCTGGTCGAGGATCGGTTCGTCTAGGCGATTGTCTTCCCTCAAGCATTTTTTCTGATAAAAACAGAGGGGCCGAGCTGTGCCATGATTTTCCTCTCAGGACGAATCATGGCATCCAATGAGCTGTTTTATGGGCTAGTCTTGAGTGGGGCCCCCAGCATCCCGTTCATAGGGATCTGGCTTGAGTCATCTTGCCGACTAGCCTCAGATTCTCAGTGGTCAATCCGTATAGTTCTTGGGTCTATTCAATCGGTCTCGAGGGCTATATGCCTTTCTTCAAAGAAAAACCACGGATCATAACTAGCCGAGACTCGAACGTAGGCTGGGATGCCCGTAGCACTCGTGCGCCCGGGTACTGGCCGCTTGCGGGCCCATCCCTTTCCACCTCTCACTCTAAAGGTGCCTGGAGCGGTTGTCAAACCTGTCGATGGGCCGACCTACGAACTCCTGGGCTTAGCTGGGCCGTAGAGGCGCTTTTTAGATTTGTATTCCTCTTACCCGCGACGAGTCGTGGACCATCCAAAGAGGCAAAACATCCTATGAGTTTTTCGAGGAAACAGATAGAGATTGCGTGCACGTGTCCCATGGTGGGATGTTGTGGCAGATCATGGCAGGCGCGGAGATCTAGGCAGGCGGTTGGTTTTCTCGCCCTCGTCGCCCCTATAAAACCAAAGGGTTCGCCCCTAGGGTTCCATACCTTGCATCCTTGCCTCCACAGCCATGACCGCCACTGCCAATCGCCTAGGTTTCCTACATCTGCATCCCCGTCACCATCGAGCTCGCATCCATCCGCCCCCACCTCCAATGGATCCGTGGTGCTGCTCTGACATCACCTTCTAGCGCATGGAAGGCCTCATCCATCGCGGTCTTCTCCGTGCATGAACCTCAGCCGAGGAATGGCTGCTGCCCAACAAGGAGGATCTGCCGTCGCCGCTCGATGGTTATGTGGTGTCGTTTGCCTACTTTCATGAGCGTGGGTTCGCGACCCTGCCCACGGATTTCTTCAGGGGCTAGTACACTACTACAAGATTGAGCTACAGCATCTCAACCCCAACGGGATCTAGCACATGGTGGCATTCATCTCCTTGTGCGAGGGATTCCTGTGGATCAGCCCCCACTTCGACATGTGGAGGTACTTCTTCACCATCACCATCCAGAAGAAGAGAGAGAGAAGAGCGACAGGCAGGAGCTGCACATGCCGATGTGGTGCGCCAGCATCCAACTTCGAAACAATCGGGTCGGCGAATACCTGCCGATGAAGCTATCGATGTCCAACAAGGGGTGGCATTCGTAGTGGTTCTACCTAAAGAACGACGCCACCGCCCCTCTGCTAGAGTTCACCGGACGCCTGATCGAAGAGGCCCTAGAGTCGTGGAGGAAGTGGGGCATTCTAGAGAAGGACAAGAAGAAGATCCAGGACCACATCGCCGCCATCCACATCCGGAAGGAGAGCGGCCTGAAGGGGTCGGGTGTCATCGGGGCCTACCATGCAAGGAGGGTGGCGCCGTTGATGTCGCGCACGCTCCTGCTGTATGCGATGGCGCCCGAGGCGTCGTTCGACGGAACAACGCTTGCCAAGGGAGCGCTCCCCCACTCTAAGGTCACGCAATGCATTAAGGAGGCGATGGATCCTTGATGGGATGACGCTGGTGCCCCCCTCAATTTTGTCTTCCTGGTGCCGGGACATCCTCCGATGCGGCCGGAACCAGGCCACGTCGTCTTTGTAAGTTTCCCCTTCTCCTGCCTTCTCTTCAATCAATTTCCTGACCTCTTGATACTAACTTTGAGAGGGGCAGGACCAGCCAAGGGACCTCATCTTCATGGATCACCCGGCACCATTGCTGAGGGATTTGTCCTTGAGGGCGGCGAATCACGCCGAGGGCGAGTGGCTCAGAAAGGCGAAGGAGGTGAGAGGAAGAAGAAGCAGCGGAAGCTGCATGCGTGGGAGCGAGGGGAGGACACCGACAGTGATGATGATGATTACAATGATGAGGTAGTCGACGACATCGAGTGGGACGATCTAAAGAATGAGGAAGCACTGATAGGTATTGGTTCGTTCTTACAGGAGTCGGGACCCTTCCCGTTCGACGGAGGGGAGGGCACGTCTGGGGAGCCAGTAGAGATGGGCCATACGGTTGGCCTGCCCCATGAGCCAACAGGGGTGGGCGGCTCTGCCATCAAGCCTGAGGTGCCCGCGGAGGCAGGTGGCTCCGCCGTCGTGCCCCAAGATCCAAGGGGAGTGAGCCCCTCTGCCCAGGAGCAGGGGGTGGGCTCGAAATGGCCTCGCCCTGACGAGGCGGAGCAAAGGTCGGGGGGTTCGCCCCAAAACATATCTGTTGCCCGACGACATCAAGGTGAGTCATCAACCCCTCTGTTTTTCCCTATTTTGGTCTGATTTTATTATGACTAATGCTTTTTGTTTCTTGCATCGTCGGGAGGTAGCGTAATCCTTTGGCGCTGGCGCTAAAGAAAAGCGTCGCCCTTCAAGCGAGGCGACAGCCATCGGCTGGCGTCGCGCTCATTTTAGGCGAGAGCGGTGCCCATGCCCTCGGCGGGATGGGTGGATGCGGGGGCTCAAGGGACGCCTTCGGAGGTCATGG